TTTCACCGTACACGGCTTACCGTTCTTAGTCAATCGAAAGCCAAGTGTTCACTTGCAAAATTATAAAAAAAATTACTATCGAAAGCCAAGTGTTCACTTGCAAAATTATAAAAAAAAAATACTATCAAAAGCCAAGTGTTTACTTGCATACTCATTCAAAGTCTTCTCTAAAACAGACTTCTTCTCTTTGTTATCTCGCCGCTGTTGGCCACATTGACGAACTCTTTACATCCCTAGTGGATAAAGCGCGCTATATAAATTCAGTGTTCATTGCTGGAGCGGACTTGTTCACGAGAACATATCCGTAAACCAGAATATTCAACTCAGAAACCCAGCACACAACAAATCGCTGGTCTAAATCTTATGTTCATTGCTGGAGCGGACTTGTTCACGGGAACATATCCGTAAACCAGAATGTTCATCTCAAAAACCCAACAACTTCGTTGGTCATTACGCAATAACGTGGTCATTTTCGGAGNGGGCGTGTCGANGCAGACTCGCCTGTAAACCGAAATNATCATTAGAAAACCCAGTTAACTTATCACTGGTCCCAACAACAATATAGTTGATCTTTGGAAATAAACCAATCAACGACAGCCTGCCTCACAACAAGGATATGCATCATCCTAACTCAACTCGTTTTCTCAAATAACATAAGGCAAAAATGATGATAATTCTGAACAAAAGGATGAACACCATCCAAGTTGNATCATATGCTAAGTCTGAAATCAAAAGTACGACAAAGTGCTAAAATAAAAATCAANTAAGGCTCGATCTCCTCAACATCATCGACAATCTCAACGGCTTGCTCAGAAGGAATCGCCGCCGTAGAGTTCGACGAGTTATCATCGCTTGACGAACTCGAAGAACTCGAATCTGAGTCAGCCACCTCTTCAATGGCATCAGCGTTCGAGTCCACAACTCGATCATCAGTCGTGCCAGCAGGCGAATCNTTAANGATCCCTTCAAGTTCNNGCACATNCTTAGCAAATACCCCATCCGCGANCGATAGGTCTGCCTCCTGCTTCACAAGGTCAACGAACTCTTCACCGAGATCAGGCGCCCTGTCACTCTGAAGCAGCTTTATGAACTCAATGTTACTCCAGACTTCAGTAAGATCAATTATATCGATCCTCGGCTGGTCATTGATCATTTTGATCTTCTCTTTGGCGCGATCGATCTTCGCCTCGTACCTTGCCACCAGCTCNNGCNTNNCTTCTTCTANANNCCGCTGCACANNCGTATCTTGAAGCTTGGNAGCAACATCTAATCGGGTGGTAAGGTCACAGACTTCCTTCTGAAGGCGCTTCCTCTCGGATTCAGACTCCGTGAACGTTCCATCCATCTCGCGACGTCTATCTTCGGTTTCCTTCATAGCAGCTTGGAGAGTAGCAACGCGATCCTCTGCATCCCTTTTCTNCTTCTTATNATCGTCACANGCCTTCTGAACATTTGCAAGCTGACGAGTCAGCGAGCGCACAGTCACCTCATAGTCAATCGCGAGCTTGTTAAGCGAAGAAAGGAACTGCCAAACCGAGGAACAGATCACGGAAAACAAGTTACAAGATCAGGAAGAAGGAAAAGACAAATCGATATCTCACGAGAGTTGCCACGAAGTCGTACCGTCATACAATCGAAGACCATACTTGAGTAAGATCTCTTCTTCGACATTTCTTCTAGAGGGGAAACTCAGTGCCTAGGAAGACAATTTGGGACAAATGCGACGCCGCCCGCGCAGCATCACCAAAGGACTCCTTCGTACCAAAAGGAATAGTGGAAGTCGTCACCACACGATCAATTCGAGGAGTTGAAGCGTGCCTCGATCTGTTCAAGTCCTCTTTGCCAACACTGCCTTTCTCCTTCTCTTCTCGCGAACACATACGACTTGCTCCTGCGTGATCATCCCTTCCCCTCATGTCATCGTGACGCCTATGCGATGATTCAGATCGACGATCGGTGATGACAATATTTCGCTCTAACTTATGACGACGCGACCTAGGTGCAAGGGTTCCAGTAGTGCCAGCTTTGGGGACAGGCATCGACGGTCTAGCTCGCTGAGTCACTCTCGCGCTCGATTCTGTCCTGGCCTCGGCAGCTCTCCTCTCACGAGCAGATGGTTTTCTCGCATTATCCGACATCTCTACTGAAGAGTTCAACGGAGCAACTCCGCTGTACACCAAACAACAACGATATGAGTCAGTGTCGCTCCACAAAGCCAGCCTTTTTACTAAGCCGTCGAGTCGCTGAGTCGCCAAAAAAAAAAACCGAGTTAACTCAGTGAGTCAACTCGAGCGAGTCAACTCACTGAGTCAACTCGAGCGAGTCAACTCACTGAGTCAACTCGAGCGAGTCAACTCACTGAGTCAACTCGAGCGAGTCAACTCACTGAGTCAACTCGTCCGAGTCAGCTCATTGAGTCAACTTGTCCGAGTCAGCTCACTGAGTCAACTCGACCGAGTCAACCCAGTGAGTTGCTCAGTGAGTCAACTCGCAAGGTATGAAAACAGCCGTTTTCTTCCACCGGATCTGGCCGTCTGAAGCTCGAATCACCTCAGAAACTCACGAGTAACATCG